TCAAAGCATCCAGCATCCCTTGAACATCTCCACACCCTGCTTCTTTAAGATAACACATTTGCCAAGCAAACACAGCAGAATGTCAGAAAGGGCCCTGCCACTAACCCCTGTGCACCATTCAACAAATTTCAATCTTTCAGATGGGAAAAGATTTGACCTAAGCAGTGTCACTCCCTTCCCCGAGAAAAGCATGTGTTCATTGCCAGGGCAAGCATTTTCTATGACCCTCAGAACACTGGCTTTTAACCACAGGTTGTCAGAAAAACACCACCCAACTGCCCCTCAGCCTGTTCCCAGCCGGAGGATGGAGTCAGCACAAATGTGCTCACTGATTGCTTGGCGCCAAGGGGAGTCTCAAATTAAATGGTTCAAAGGCATTTTTTTTTTCTGCTTTACAATTTGGCCATCTTTCCCTTTATGCAGTAAAATCTCCAACACTTTGGAATTTATGATCCTTTGGACAGGGATTGGGCTCCAGTCAGCTTCTGGAGTATTCTGCATGGAAAGGATTTTCGAAGAAAATTAATAGTTTGCCAAAAGAATTGCAAAGGGAATGCATCCTTATTTAAGGGGCTGCTGTTCTAGTCCTTAACGAACATTCACACATCCACAGACAATATTTCATATGCTAATTTCAAATAACTCTTACATGTTCATTAAGTCCCCAGCTATAACTGTTTATTGATATGATTATTGCAATTTGATCTGACTTCAAATGCTAGGTTTTCTCTGAATGGGAATTTCTTAGATACAAACTTTTTGAGACTAAGTAATTAATAAAGGAAATAAGTTAATGCCAAATGTGGGTGACTATCCTTTGGTGAGGATGAAAGGTCTCCTTATACGTTATTGGTCTTCGTTGATTCCTGGGAGTTCCTGCCAGGTGCTGCAAGATGAGGTTTGACTGTGGGGACCCTGGTCTTGATTTTCCAAGGATCATCCCTGTTAGAATTTCCATCCTAAATAGCTACTCATAACTCCTTCCTTCCTTCCTTCCTTCCTTCCTTCCTTCCTTCCTTCCTTCTCTCTTCCTTTCTTCTCTCTTTCTTTCTTTCTTCCTCAGGGTCTCACTATGTAACCCAGACTGGAATTGAACTCACAAGCCTCCTGCCTCCTCCCTGCTGGGGTCAGAGGTGTATACCACTATGCCTGGCTTCCCTCTTATTCTTAAAGAAGTCTTGCTATGAACTATAAATTATACAACACACTGTAGATTTAATAAAACTCAGGGAATTAAATTACAGTATTTTTTTTATTTTTTATTTTTTTTTGAGATAGAATCTCCCTATTGCCCCAGCTGACCTGGAACTCACTATGTAGATTAGGCTGATCTTGATCTCACAAAGATCCATCTGCTGCTGCCTCCTGGCTGAAATTATGGTATTTTTAAAAAGGAATTTAGTACCATCAATTCCTAGTGTTCCCTATATAAACCAGTGACTATTCTGTAGGGTATTGTATCAATTCAGGATCTAGATACTTCTTCACTGTGCCCCGCCTCCCAACTCAACAATCAGGAGAGAAAGAAGCTATCTTTCTGTGCTGGTTAATTTTGATTAATCTCAGTTGTCAACTTGATAAGATCTATAATTACCTGGGAGATGGGTCTCTGGCCATCTTGATTATGTTAATTGGGGTGGGAAGATGCACCCTATGTGAGCTGCAATATTCTCTTGGTTTGAGTTCTGAACTGAATGAAAAGGAGAACATGAGCACAAGTATTCATGGTTCAGAGGGTTGTGGGTTCGATGTGATCAGCTTCTTCAAGCTCCTGCTGAGTTGATTTCCCTGCCATAAGGGACTGTAACCTTGAACTGAGAGCTGAAATAAACTCTTTCTCCCTTGGGTTGCTTTGGTCAGGGTATTTTATCACAGCAACCAGAAAAGAAACTAAACATTTTTTTCTCACGGAGGGGGAATTTTGGGATCACCCCTACTCTACCTCATGTATATTAATTTCACCTTGTTGTTTGTCTAGAGCTGAAATTTCATGTCAATTGCCAGCATTATTTGGGAGAGACATGAACAAGCATGGAGGACACAGCACTGAAGGCATCTGGTTTCCTTTCAGCCATTATGAATTTCTTCATCACAGGACCAAGGACTATGAAACAAATGCCGTATGCCGTGTGTCATGGGAGAGCTTCACCTGACTCCGTCCCCACATTACTAAGGTAGCAACAGTTATTCCTTGGATTTTCAAACTGACAAGCAGGCTTATTGAAGTAAAAACACTTGTTCAGGATGCCCAGGATATGAGAGATGCAGCACAGGATCCCAGGTTGTCTGATGCTCATGTCAGCACTTAAGTAACCACTATGATATACGGCCTCTCACTATGCTCCACAGGTCTGACATTTGAGTCAGACATCTGCTAGCAATTTGATACATGATAAAGCTCTTGCCTCATCAAGAATGGCTCATACAGGGGGAGAGGAAGGAGGGAGGGGCCAAGGGGGATTCTGCCTAGAGAGCAGTTGTCTGATGCTTGCATGTTGCAGTGAAATCAACAACTTAAAGTGCATCTCTCCATTTTGGTGTTAAATTGTCTTCAGAGGTATACTTACGATACTCAGGAGAAGCTCACTTGGGGCAGGGAAGTGACCCTCATCTACAAAGTGTGGAGCAAACACAACTGGCTAGTGGTTCACATACCCCTTCTCCATTTTCCCACAGACAGTGACTTGTGCTGATCTGCTGACTATGAGTTGGGCTTGACTCATGCAACTAAACATTTCTGATGAGACCAAGCCCCCAGCTTCCTTCAAAAAGAAGTCACTGGTCTCCACTAATAAGATGGAGTGTCTTTGCCCATCTTCTTCCTAAGAACTGGGCTTTGGAAACATGAGGTTTCTACCCTTCGGTGAGTATAGAACGCTGGAAAGGAACTGGACATTGAGCATTTCTGGATGTAGCTGACTTGGATGAGAATGGGGATCATGTGGGTTTTTTGGTGAGTCTGTTGAAACACAACTCAATCCCAGTCCTCCCGAGGACTTGAATATAAACGCTCCTTGCAATTCTAGCCTGAGCCAGAGGAAATATCTATAAACTGGAATCTGTCCTACAGAGAGGGCATGCCTGTTATAGAACTATTAAACAGAGCCCTTCTATCATAACATAAATCAAGGGCTTATAGGACATGGGTACTGTCCAAAGAGAAAGAAACCTAGGACAGTAAAAGACACCGAGATTGAAATGATACTGAGGGTACATGGAACTCTTATAAAAGTCACAGCCTGAGGAAATTAAAATCTACAGGGTTGGGATACCTTGTAGATAGTTCATATGATTGAAACTATGGCCAAGGAAATGGCATATTGTATCAGACAGACAGACAGAACCACAGAAGTTCCAATAGCAGTAGATCATAGGTATACTTTTCTTAGTTAAAACCCCACCAGGAGTCTGCTTTCCCCTTTGAGTACGCCTGAAAGAAATGGAAGAGGGTGGACCAAATACCATAGTTTTATTCCGGACAAAATTTCTCCCATCCCCCCAGCAAGGCCATTTTCTTTAGCCAATGCAGCACTGGTGTGCCAACAGTAGATGCACAAAGGTGGAAGTGACAGTGAGCCAGGAACACAAAAGTGCTGACGTCAAAACTCTCTACAAAGAACCTCTGTCCTAGCAGACAAGCACCAGCTTTTAATGGCATTTTGAGTCACTGACCCCACCTCTCTAGCGTATCAGTGGGCACACCCCCCACCTCTCCCCTGCACATGCAGTTCTTGCTTGCAGCCTCTACATCCTACTGGCCCTTCTTGTGTCCCATGCACCCATTACCCGTGTAGGATGCCCCATTTGGCCAAAGACCTGCTTGAGCCTCTTTCAGACCAAAGGAAAGTTTGTTGGTATGGTTCATTTTTTTTCAGATATGATTTTTCCAATCAGTCTTGATCCCCACACTTGCTGAGAAGTTCAGATTTACTTGTGCTAGACCAGGCATTCTGTAAGAGCACTTTCCCAGACATGGTTTAAGCTAGTCCCTAATGCAGCCTGCCAGGACTAATATATCCTCTGAGTGCCCCCCCCCAGCTCCTTCTTCCTTTGTACTTTCTGAACCACTCAGCCAACACCAGCAAAAGATGAGTTTTCATACTGCCTTGATTTTCACTGACAGAGGGCACAGCCTTCCTCCTTTCGTCCTCAAACTCCTCTAAATTGAATGATGTATGAAAAGAACTGGGTCTTCTCTGTCTTGGGTGGCTGCTGCCCCCCCATCCTGTTCTTTTCTTCTTTTATTTCTTTTTTTTCCCTCCCTTCCTGTCATTTTTTACCCCTGCCCTAGATTTTTTAATCATTCCCAAGTTCAAAGCTATCCGACTCTTTTTTGGGAGGGGGGATAAGAACAAATAAAACTCTTCCAAGGTTATCGTCACAATTTTAGACGACTGCTGCCTGACTTTAGCTCAGAGTCCTGGTTCTGGATGCTGGAGAGGAGAGAATTCAGCACCACCACAGCCAGCAGCCTCACTGCCAGGAAGGGGAGGAGGAGGGTGTTGTTTGGGGTGTATTTGAAGGAATAGCATATGGGATTTTTGGTCAAAACATTCGGAGCTAGCTAGTTGCAGAGCTGAGGGTTCAAATGTGCTTTCTCTGAACACCATTTGTTCATCTTTTATACAACACCCCCAACCTTCTCAAATCCACCACTCCTTTGCCCCCCTGCCCTCTGAGCTCTGTGATAGCAGAAAAGTTTTCCAGTCGAGTACGTACCCCAGCTACACCGCCCACCCTAAGAAGGCAAAAGGCTTGCACAGGAAGTATGGAATCTGTGGGAGTGCTGCTCCTCGCCAAAGAATTCCTGTCTCTTTTCAACAGCCTCGTCCTTATACAAGCAATTAGTTCCCGTGTTCCAGTGGGAGACACCGAGTAGTGATGGGAATAGCCAAGGCACCCTGGCCCAGCTGCCTGAGTCCACCCCCTCAAGGCTCTGGGGCACAGGTTAGAAAAGGAGAACCTTCCCTGTGTCCCCAAATCGCGAATGGGGTCATTACCTTGGCAGCGGCTTGCGGGCTGTAATGCTAGCAACGATGATGCTCTCGGGACGCGGAGTGGCCACCGCTTTGAAGGTCCCTCGCCAGAACTTCTCAAACAGCTGCTTCTCACCCTGCTGCACGCTCGCCATCGTTGAAGCCCACCAAGCCCGGGGCGCTGTCCGAAGTGCTGAAACGCGGATTCCAAACCGGAAGGCACACCCTGGGCTCCGGGGCGCTGTCCGCGTGAAACCCCCACGGGGTGGGGTGGGGAGAGATTGGAGTTCAGGGCGGGGGATGGGATGGGACGTCTCTGGCTCGGCAGAGAAAGAAGGGTGGTCCCCCAGCTGGCTTCACCTGGCTTAGCTCTGGACTGAGCTTGGAGCCGGCTGAGACCCACGGCCCCAGCCAAGCAAAGCAGCGCCGGGGACAGAGAGGAGGCGACCGGGTCGTCTGCCGTGCGTGCGCGTGTGAGCTCCGGCGCGCCCGGGTTTTGTCTCTCGCACAATGTGACGTTGGAAGAGGGGGCTGGTCGCACGAGCTGTACTTCCTCTCCCCCCCCACCGCTATCTCCCCCCCACCACGTCTCTCCTCCTTCTCCCTGCAACCCCTCCTCCGTTGGCTCAACCTCCTGCTTCCATCTGCATAACAAAAGCCCGCAGGTCTAGGGAGGAGAAAGGGCGGGGCTTGCGCCTGTCACTAAGTCTCGGTGGCCGCAGAGTTGCATTGCTGACCCGCTGAGAAGCGATTCCAACACCCTGAACTGAACCAAGCAGGAGTCCTCCTTCCCAGCCCTCGCTCTACCTCCATCATCCCGGCGCTTCCCTTCATCTTTCCTTGCGTACTCCCGGGGCTTGGCCACCTCCCTTCCCCTCCCAAGACTTGGAGCGCATCTTCCATTGAGTGAGCAAGAATACTCCGCCTATCCACCCATGGCAACCTGCCTTTCCCCCTTCCCACTTCTGGGAGGGACTGAGGCCTGCAAAATGGGGGTCCCCCCTGTGTTCCTCTTTGTGCCTGGGGGCCACGGACTTCCCCCGCCCCTCAGAAAGTGCCATTTGATAGACAATCCGTCACCAGTGCGGCTTCTCGCCATCTGCCGAGTCGGCCCCCACCCGCAGAGGGGCACAGCGTTACATCTGTGCCTGTGGTGCAGTAAAGGATATCTCTTTTGTGCCTCACAGCCGGCCTGCCTCTCCTCCCCGCTGCCAAGGCCGTCCAAAAGAAGAGCACCCCTCCCCCACATACCCCCCTCCCTCTGAGAAACAGCAGCTTGAGTGTGAAACTGAAGTCTGATTTGGAAAAGAAAGCGCTGGGGGCGGGGGGGGGATTAAGAGGGAGATAGTAACTTTTTGGTCTTTCCTCTCCATCTTCAGTCCCCTCCCAAGCAAGCAGAGGGTCAAAATCTCAAACTCCAGATACACAGTATCTAGGTAGAATGGCTCTTTCATTTCCCCTAGGGTTTTCGTGGAGGGAAGAGGTCTTTGGGAAATCTCGCAGTCCATTTCTCCCTTGGGGCCTTTTAATCGGAGCAGAACTGTCACTGCCACCCTCTCTGCCCCCCGCCCCCACCACAATACTGGAAACTCCTAAGACTGACAGGCCTCCAGGCACTTGGCACCAGGTCCCAGCCATAGCAGGGAATGGAATCTATGCTTCCTTCTGATTCTGGTAGTGGTGGGGACCCAAGAAGGCCCAGGACACCAAAATGAACTTCATAAATTATTTGCAAGGGAACAGGAGGTACACTAAAGGACAAGGGTGAAGAACAGGAGAACAAGATTGGTCAAGAGAACCCAGAATACAGGAATGACAGAGCACGTGTTGGGAAGAGGATATAGGATGGGTCTACATGTGTTGGAAGGCTGTGTACTGGTTTAGGAGTGCCTGGGAGCACTACTCGCTCTGCAGTGACCCCTTCTGGTCAATAACAAGAAATGCATTTGTTGGCTTCTCAAGTAGGTACTTGCTGCCAGGGTTTGGGATGCTTGGAATTGAGGAAAATTCTGGTAGGCTCTCTCCTTTTCTCTCCCTGACCCCCATATTCAAAATCCCCAGTTCCAGTTCCTCCATTGCTCTCAGGACTTATTATCCACTACATTAGTTACTTTTCTGCTGCTGTGATAAAACACCCCAACTAAGACAATTTATAGAAAGAAGGAGATTATTTGGGCTTAGGGTTCCAGATAAATAAGACACTGCCATGGTGGGGAGGCATGGAAGCAAGCTGCAGTCTTGGCAGCAGGAACTGGAAACTGAGACCTCACATCTTGAACTCCAAAGGTGAAGCAGAGAGAGTGAACTGCAAGTGGGGTGAGGTTATGAACTCTTAAGGTCCCACCCAGTGACTTGCTTCCTTCAGCAAGGCTACACCTCCTAAAAGTTCCATAACCTGGAGAACTCAGCAGAAGGCCTGGGAGTGCCTGATCTGGCCTCCATGTGGTGGTGAGCTTCCCCAAATCTCACCACACCCAACCCCCTAGTTAGTGAGGCACCTCCCACAGCCCCAGGGGCAGACCTCTCTACTACAGCAGGGTAAGGCAGAGAGAAATTAACAGACAGCCTGAGAATGCCTGATCTGGCCTCTCCTTAGGGAACTTCCCAAATTATGCTCTGAGGACCTCTAGTAGGGATCCAAATGTTAGAAGGAAGCCTGAGTCTACCTGACTGGAGCTTGACTTGGGCCTCTGTGGGAGCTCCTGAGTAACTGATCTGAAGACATCAATTCCTTCCAAAACAAAAATCTGAGATAACCTGTAACCTGGACCAACCAGATCTACCAATAAGAAAACCAATAAGAAAACAACTAAGGCACACCAATAGTACAAACAGAAGCAAACGTCAACTGAACAAAAGAAGGCTCGACTTTCATAAAAGAATCACAAACAACAAAAGAAATCCACATGCCAAAATCACAAGAAAAATGAAAAAACAAGAAAATGGAAAGCCAAAACAGTATGGTCCCACCAAACCTTATCACTGCTGTAGAAGAGATCTACAAGAAAAGCCCCCCAGAGATAACCCAGGACACCAAATTTAAAAGAACAATCATAAACATGATCAATGAATTCATATGACAAGTTTAATGAACATACAAACAAATCAAAGAACTAAAAGAAGATAGGGATAAACTTCTGAATGAATTCACAAAAGAGATAGAAACATTGAAGAAAAATCAGGCAGAAATAAAGAAGGAAGTGAAAACCTCAATAAGCCAGCTTGAAACAACAGAAGAAAGCCTCACCGCTAGAATGAATGAAATGGGAAACAGAATATCAACATCGGAGGATAAGGTTGAAAAACTGGACTGCTCGAGCAAAGATTATGTAAAATTTTTAAAAATATAGGAATGGAATATGCAGGAGATGTGGGACACCATGTAAAGACAAAATCAGTGTCTCATAGATGTAGAGGAAGTTGAAGAATTTCAGGTTAACAGAACTGACCAGATCTTCAACAGGATTTTAGAAGAGAATTTCCCAAAATTAAGGAAAGATATCCCCATACAAATATAAGAAGCACATAGAACACCAAATAGACAAAACCAGAAAAAAAACTCCCCACAACATATCATAGTAAAAACACTAAATGTACAGAACAAAGAGAGAATACTGAAAGCTGCAAAAGAAAAGCAATAACTCACATATAAAAGAAAACCCATCAGAATTACAGCTGACTTATTAAGGCAAACTACAAAAGCAAGAACAGCCTGAACCAAGGTATTTCCAGTTCTAAATGACCACAGATGCCAGCCCAGAATAGTTTACCCAGCAAAAATATCTATTATAGCTGAAGGGGAAAGAAAAATCTTCCATAACATGAATAGCCTGAAAGAATTCATGTTCACAAAACCAACCCTTCAAAAAATACTTGAAGCAATACAAAGAATGGAGAAAGGAACAATTATACCCCAGGGGCAACAGGAAAAAAACAACATGAAAGTATAATTGTATAAACACAGAATTAGACAAAGAATACAAACAGTAATCAAAATGATGGCCACCAATACACATCTTTCAATAATAACTATAAATATCAACGGTCTAAATCCCCCAGTCAAAAAATACAGGCTAGTTGAATGGATTAAGAAACAAAATCCATCTTCTTCTTAAGAGACCCATCTCACCTTCAAGGACAGGCACTACCTTAAAGTGAAAGGATGGAAAAGAATATTTCAAGCAAATGACACTAAGAAACAAGCAGGGGTTGCAATTCTAACATCTGACAAAATAGACTTCAAACTAAAACTAGTCAGAAGAGATAAAGACAGTCACTTCATTCTGATCAAAAGAACAATTAACCAAGAAGATATTCCAATCTTGAAGAGTACACAAAACTCTGGTGCACTCAAATTCATAAAAATAACACTACAAGACTTTTACACAGATTAACCCCAACTCAGCAATAGACTTCAGTACCCCACTGTCTCCATTAGACAGGTCATCCAGACTAAGAATAAACAGAGAGACAACTTAATTAAATAATACCATACATCAAATGGACCTAGCAGACATTTTCCAAATATTCCACCCAAGCACCAAAGAATACACTTTCTATTCAGCAAACCATGGAACTTTCTCAAAAATTGACCACATATTGGGGCATAAAACACACCTCAACAAATAAAAAAAAAATTGAAATAATTCCATGCATTCTATCAGACTACAATGCAATAAAGGTTAAAATCAACACTGGAAGAAATCCTAGTAAGTACAGGAACTCATGGAGATTAAACAACACACTCCTAAATAATGAGTGGGTCAAAGGAGAAATTAAGAAGGAAATAAAAGAATTCCTGGAATTCAACGAAAAGGACAATACAACACACCAAAACCTCTGGGATACTTTAAAAGCAATCCTAAGTGGGAAGTTTATAGCTCTAAGTGCCTACATTTAAAAAAATCAGAATGAGCACAAATAAATGACTTAACATTGCAACTCAAGACTCTGGAAAAGCAAGAACAAATGAAACCCAAACCCAGCAGAAGAGAAGAAATAACAAAAATCAGAGCAGAAATTAATGAAATAGAAACAAAACAATGCAAAGAGTCAATGAATCTAAGAACTGGTTCTTTGAAAAGCTAAACAAGATAGACAGACCCTTAGCCCAGTTAACCAAAAGAAAGAGCAAATCCAAACCAACAAAATCAGAGCTGAAAAGGGAAGCATTACAACAGACACCCAAAAGATCCAGAGCATTATAAGGGAATACTTTAAAAATCTATACTCTATCAAATTTGAAAACCTAAAAGAAATGGATGGGTATCTAAAATCATGGAAACCACCAAAGTTAAACCAAGAAGAGATCAACAGTTTAAACAGACCCATAACATACAAGGAAACTGAAACAGTAATACAAAACCTCACAACTAAAAATCCCCAGGTCCAGATGGATTTACAGCGGAATTCTACCAGACATTTAAAGAAGACCTCCAACCTATATTACATAAATTATCCAAAATGATAGAAACAGAGGGAGAACCCCCAAATTCCTTCTATGAAACCAGCATGACTCTAATACCCAAATCAGGTAAAGACACAACTAAAGATCTACATCCAATACTACTTAAATTATTTAAAATGATGGAAACTGAGAGTGAACTCCTCAGTTCCTTCTATGAAACAAGCATCATTCTAATACCAAAAC